ACTGAGTTAGTTCGACAAGATTCAGTTTCGCTCGCCCCCTATCTTCGCTGCTGAATAATTTTTGATGTAATAAGGAAAATTCTAAATAGACATTTCGAAAGTTAATAATTCATTCCGGCAGGAGAGCCTCCCGTTTGCACATTATTGTAATGATGTGATTCTCGACACCCGACCTTTTGTCTCACAGGAGTGAGTAGATTGAAATGTTTTCAGTGTTCTTGCCTATCAAAATGAATATTTGTTACGTTATTTTTATTTTCTATCTGTAATATGAATCAAAGTAGCTCTTAATTTTTTGCCTTATAAAGCAACTCTGTTTTACTAACATTTACATTTCGAGAACTTCTTCTAGGTGGTTTATTTATATGATTAGAATATTATAGTCAATGATTAGAACTGAAATCAATATTTTATTTTTAATATGAAATGTTGGTCCCGATCTTAACGCTCACGTTTTAATCTAATCAGTATAAAATTCTTAAAAAAAAATTGTAACTTTTTACTGTAAAAGCGGTCAACATCAAGCAGCACAGAGAAGAAAAAAGAACACAACGCCGCGCCGATACCGTTCATGCTCATTCCATACTTAAAGCAATATTATTTCGGCGAATTTCATCGCGGAATTAATCTGAGCCGAGCTCGGGACCTAATCTCGAGCTACTAATTAGAGTGTTTCGCTCGTATAAACATGTTAATCGTATACTCCTTTACGTTTATTCAATGTTACGTTTGCGTCTTATAATAATACTCATTTGTAACTTTCGAATTAGTCTTGTAATGTAGGGTGTTCTAATTTAAATATTTGAATGAAAGGTTGTGCCTCGTTTTCGTTTGTTGATCCACTGGGTAATGTAATTTATAGACATGAATTCGATCCATGTAGATTACAATAACTGTACTAACAACATAACGAGTAGACGGATAAAAGAAATGCAACAAGCGACTTACAAAACGGCATCTCCTTACACGCTCGACTCGCGCCCGTGGAGAATGTATATCTCAGTGAATATCGATTTCAAATAAAATTGCAACCTTTTCAGATAACGAGGTGACACTTCCCCTTTTCCGGGGCCTGTTGTCGCCCTCTTACATTGGGAATTTATCCATCGAAATAAGCACATAACGAATCTAATGATATCTATAGAAGAGGATATACAATAAGATTGCCTTTTGGACACACTTTTGTATCGTACTATTCGTAAGAATTAACATAACACCTGAAGGTCCATTCTATTTTTTCGAAAACGAAATTTCGTCTATTCGTCATATGTTGTATTGTGACACCAATACAACATATGTGTCAATAATACCTGAATGTCATAAAATAAAATCAATAATGCCGTGACTTTAATGAACTTCATAAAAATAATGATAATTAAACAGTACCTGACATCTACAGTGCGTCGTTAAACGTTTTTAGAGATGGAATATGTAAATTAAAAATGGGATAGATATTGTAATTTATTGATATTTTTGTATTGTCGTCTTGGAGTTATTATTATTATTTATTGATCAGGGGTTTTTTTTATATTCACGTATTTACGAAATATGGAAGCTTATTCATATTTATTCTATAGCCAACTTTTTTTAATTTATTTATTTTTTATTATGCATGAATTATGAACCAACTCAAAATTATGACGTTTGACTTGATTTTGTTTCATGATATTGTGTACACATGTCATTGGAAGTGCAACTTGACATGCTGCATTGTTATGTGATGAATTATTTTTTTATGTAATTGTACTTCTGTTTGTGTACCGAATAAATTTAAAAAAATAGCAACTATCCAGGACAGTGAATAACGGCATAATTTTGATAACACGCTGGGAAGCAAACACGTATTAAACTAAAAAACCAAAATAGATATTTAGAGAACATCTTCATATTATTCCCAAAAATATCTTATATCCGTATAAATTGAACACCTTATTTATTACCATGGACGTTTATAAGAATTATTTTTCGAAAAGTTTTTCTGTTCTGAAGAACAATTTAAGTTATGCGGGTTGCTTTCCAGCGTGAGTATATACTAACCATAATAATACAAATTTACTATTTATGTACACTAAACAATAGCTCTATATAATGAAGAATTTGTAACTTTAAAAAATGTTATATACAATAAGCATCAAAATGTTAAAACCGCTATAAAGTGATTTACATAGTGTAAGAACAGAACGATGAAATACTAATACGACTCCAAAGAAACGCATTTTTCGATAATATATACCATCGGAGGTAGGGTCGGACGCCGCCTCTGATGCACAGATAATCTTCATGGCTTTGATTTTAATAACATTATTTCTGTTTTGTGATAAGAACTATTCAAAATTTTATTTTTGTTATATTTTGTTCGGGGACAAATAGAATAAGTCCGCAGGTGTCTTAACAGAATTTTTCGACTGCTGGATGCAGAAAAGTAAATTGATGCCGATGAATTTAAATGAGTAGCTCGGTGGCGTGAGTACCTTGGTGGCGTAGTGGATAAGCGCCACGGCCCGCGGACGTAGTTGTTAAGCAACTTTCGCAAGGGTCGGTCATGGGATGGGTGACCAAAAAATTATTATCTCAAACTACTCCGTGCTTCGGAAGGCACGTTAAGCCGTTGGTCCCGACTGCATTTGCAGTCGTTAATACCCTCCAATCGGCATTGGGCTAGCGTGAAGGGTCATAGCCCATCCTTCTTAACCATCCATAAGGAAGGCCTGAGACCCTGCAGTGGGGACGTAAAAGGGCTGGTGATGATGATGATGAATTAAAATGATAATGTACTTATATATGCAATTTCTTAACAAATAACATATTTAATGAATTCAAAAATTAAATAAAAGATATTTTTTAAATTTTAATTTTGAAGTATGTTATAAACCAAAAATGTATTTTCTCTTATTTTATATAATATCAGACCCTCTGTAGATCCTTGTAAATTATACACGAAGTGTTCTCAAATATTTATCATAAATAATATATCGATTATTTCGAGTGTTGGTTTTAGATTTAAGTAGGTAGTTCTGGGAAAATACTTCGTTAACGTATTGAAGGGCTCCTGAATATAAGCTTCTAATAACGACCGTCCACAGAATCCGTCTGTCGGGGCGGTGTTGTTTCAATAAAATCTGTTTACTGAAAGAGAAACGAAAAAGGTTAATTTGTATATTATATCATGATTTACCCCATACTGATTTGGTAACGAAAGAGAAACATGAAATCTGTCGGTCCCACCCCTCGCAAATTGTAATAGTTGATTTCAATCAATGAAGGAAAAAAAGTATACCATTAAATCACTACTTGAAATATGAAAGAAACATTTCATTTACGTGGCGAATTGAATATTAAGCTTAATTAGAAGAATGTAGAATAAAACTTAGATGCAACAATGCCTAAACTTCTGTCCAGCACCTATGAGAGATAAAAATATGACGATATCTGATATTTATTTATTTAGTATTTTATAAGCATGATATTATCATTACGTCATTGTCATTCTCTCGTTAATGACTAGATATGTTAAAGTGTAATTTAAATGTATTAAAACTGTGTAGGGTAGTATAAAACTGATATACACTTCTTGTGTTGTTCCGTATTCATCCCATGACGTCTCATTCTATTATTTTTTCCTTGCTCATCCTATTTATGTTCCTTACTCAACCTGCAATAATTTAATTCATTTTAAATTCCTTATTCATCCCATCATTATTCCTTGCTGGATGAGCTTAAGCTTTTTTAAATCACCTAAAAATATAAGATTTCTGTAAGGTCCGAACAAAAATATTATCTTTTTTACCCAAGTTAATTTTTGTTCAAATAAACAAATCTTTCATTACCATGTTACTTACTACTGAGTTGTTAGATCAAAAACATATAGGAATAATATGTTTAACAATGAAAACATATTTTTCATTGGTAGTATTTATTAATGCACGCTGCTCTCAAGTGGTAGACTTCTGAAAAGAAAATAGATCGACAAAAGCCCTGTTAAATGTATGTTATGGCTATAGTTTTGATTATAATGTTAAGTATATTGTTGTGTGTATTATAAATTGATTTGATCTCTTGGAGTCCCGTTAATATTTCCCTAACCAAAATTACTTACATAAATTTAGATAAAAGGACTCTCATCTCGAAGTAAATGACAAATATAAACAAATGCTACCCCTGCGTTAGTTCTTTTAAGACTCGTGGATGTGGAAGAGAGAATAAAATTACTCGCTGAATCGCTGTCTCATTTTATACCTGTTTGATGCATATGCAAGTTTCCCTATAATATGGAAGTACCAATCTGCTGCAATGGTGGATTCTTCTTCGTCCTATTCAACTTGTTCCCAGCAGTGAAAACATTAATAGATTGATGATGACTATATAAATACATATGTAATAGGACATGTAGGTAATAAATAATATTTTTAAATATAAGAAATCAAAATAAATTAACGGTGCCTGTCACTAGACTGCAAAAAGTTAATAACTTATTCAGGTGTCTTTGTGTGCGCTTCTACAATAAGGTTCCAAGTAAAATACAATCATCATTATAAAACCATTTTTCTCTCTATTTATAATGCATTGATCTGTTATTGACATGGTTTTTTGAATGTCATTACTCCTATTAGAGCTGGTGAGTTTCTTGCCCGTTCTTTTTATTAGCCAAAAGACGTCCTGAACGAGTGGTAGGAAAAAAAATGTTGGATGATTCAAAAGTACTTTTAAGCAGCCTATTTGAATATAGATTATTTGGACTTCTACCTCGGTTTTTAAAAACTAAACATGCATATTTCATTTTTAGTATTCGATAAGTATTTATATTGTGTACTTAATAATAAAAAAATTATACGCTCTTGAGCTGTCCATACTTATTGCTTGTAATATTTGTTTCAAGATGAGTAAGGAATACGTTAAGGATGAATTCGTAGTACCTGGGGCGGGTGAATTTTTAAGCATTTTTCATTAAGATGATATACACTTTTTCAATTTTTAAAGTATTTTTTATTATTTGTTCACAGATTCTTCTACTTATATCACTTCTCGTTCTACGCTTACCACTACAGATTTAATGGACAGTACAGCAGCCTGGCATTGGTCACGTCGTGGCTTTTTATACAGGTATTTTTTTTATTATTATAAAGGAATTTGTTTAGTTTTAGTACGATTTATGGTTCGACTTTCGAATGTCATTTAGTCATGATATAGTAGAGTTGTTTGCTACGTGTGAGTGGTCTCCGCCTCTGGCGCGCTCACGGCTCTGTCTCATGTCTACTTTGTACAAACAGTTTGTCTGTCGCTATAGGGTAAAACCAGGATAGATGCCCCACTTGTTGAATTAGTCCCCTCTTTTTTAAAATATTAATTTTGTACGAATTATTTCCCTTGATATAGTTAGATAAATTCTTTATGTTGAATTATTATTATTATTTTTTATTCTATCAAATACAGATTTCGCAGAAATTAGCTTTTCGTAGACCACTTTTTTTGAGGATAGATGCCTACCTATATGGATAGTTGCCCCACCGTGAAAATATTGAGTAGGATAGATGCCCTTTATACCTTTTATACCTAAAACAACAATAGTCTCCAAAAAACGTACTTCATAAAAATGAAAAACACTTTGTTTTTTTTATAATTTTTTTATTACTATCATATGAAGATAATTCTAATATCACAGAAATGACCATAAAATATTTAAAGTATAAACATGCATAATCATTTTTATGTAAAATTAAATTTTACAAGCATTTATTTAACAAAAATATAAATTCTAAATTGTTTTTATAAAATATTAATAGTCAAATTGCACAATCAAACTTTTATCCAATTAAATAGAAATTTAGCCGGATAGTGCTTTTAATTTTCCACATCTTGAGCAATAATTTTTGTAAAGTGTACAAGTTTCATGTAACCAGTTCTGACACATTACACATTGAATCCAGTCGGATAACGACTTCGTATTTTTATAGTTTTCAAAACATTCAATACAATTATCTTTACCTGTATCTTTAGGGTTATCCTGTGCATCTTTCTTAGTTTTCTTTATGGGCAAACATTTAGTTATCTTTCCTTTAATTTTATGGTTAGGTCGATTTTCTTCATTTTCGCTACTTGAACTGTAAATAATATGTCTTCTTTGTGATGCTCGGTTTTTGCACAGTTTTAAATAATTATCATTTTCTTTATCACACAAATCAGCTAGTTTGTCATTGTCACTTTCACTAAAAGGATTTGTTTTATTGAGTTTTATTTTTTTATTTTTGTTGCTTTGTCTTTCTGGTAGTCTAGTTGTTCTTTTTTGTGTTTTCTTAAATACTTTGGTAGTTTCAGTCTTGTTTTTCTTGTCCAACTTAGTTTTTATTTGTTTTTCTTTTTTTTCAGACATACCCTTCTTACGACTTATATTTTCTTCTGAATTCAAAATATTTGCTGATTGTTTCGCCCTCTTAGCCATGGTCAAAGGAATTTTTGGAATAGGTGACGCTTCTATTAGAATTTTTGAGGGTGTTTCTTGTTCTATATCATAGCTTCTTAAAATCTCTTCAATTGTAGCATCACCAATGTCAACTATACTAATATCTTCTAAAATCTCAGACTCAATCAAGAGACTAGGAGATTCTCTGTCAATTGGAGTCGGATTTGGTGGTGTCTTATTTTGGTGGTGGTTAATCGCAATAGACTCACGAAATTCTATATTTTCTACATTGGAAACATCAGGTTGGATAGTAGGCTGACTTGTTGACGTTAGTCCTATAACTTCAGGCGCACGAGAAGTACCAGGATTTTCACTACCCAGTGCAGTATCCGATATTAGAAATGTTGTATCTGGCAAAGCATTTGGGTTAACTGGGTAAATTCCGCAACCTCTGAAGCCACCAAGAGCGTTTCTAGGGGTAGCAGCACGAATCCAAGCATTATATATGAGCTTTCCGGCGTTGTAACGACTGATCTTTTTATTTGGATTCAAGCGCATAAATTGATTAGTTTCTTGGCTGAAATAAGCTTTAAATGGCCCAAATACTGATCTGTCTAAAGGCTGTAAGGCTGAAGTTGTATGACTAGGTAAACACAATAAAATTATGTCATTATCAGCAGCAGTTTGCAGCATGTCCGGTGCAGTTGAGTGTGACGAGTGACCGTCTAAAATCAGCAGAACCTTACCTTGGGGCTTCATAGGGATGAAGTGTTCCGTTAACCATTTATAGAAAAGCTCAGCGTTTCTATAAGCTGACTTTTTATTCATAAAGACTTTAGAGCCTTTTGGGAGCCCTTCCTCAAACTCAGGTTTTTTATTCACACCTTTTATTATAACAGCTGGTGGAAGGAAGTTACCAATAGCATTGCAACAGCCAACGATTGTCATGGTTTCACCTTTCTCGGCAGATGTGACTGAGCTGACGACTTTTGCACCTTTTTTTGCTACGACTTTTCCGGGTTTATTATTTAATTGGACTCCGGATTCATCCATATTGTAGATCCTTTCTGGTTTGTCCAATAGGTTATTTTCGGTCAAAACTTTGATTAAAAGATTATAGAAATTATTTACTTCTTCCCTATTGAGACCTTTAGCTCTAGCCACTGATAAACCTTCAGCTTGTCTGATAGACAGCTCCGGATTTCGTTCAATAAAACTTTTAAACCATGCACCTCCAGCCATTTCATTTTCTTGGTCGAAATTGTGTTGCAACCCTAGTTTTTCAGCAAATTGATACGCTAACATGCGTATCACTTGTCTATTTGGAGGAAATCCTGCAGCACCAAGTTTGAGGATGTGCTTTACAAGCCTTTTCTCGTCAAAATCTAAAATGGGATGTTTACCTAAAAAGGAAATACTTACATTTATAAATTTTTAAGATACTAGAGATAGCAATTACTTAAATTAAAGCTTGTATAGTCCTGTATAACATATTTGGATACGGGTCCTAATGCCAATGGGTTGTCATGTTTACCATGACGTGATAACATGGTATCATTTAATACGTACCCATTGTCAATTTTGTTGTACTTCTTGCAGCATATCGTCTTCGCAATGTCCTTGATGGAATCCCAAATCGTCGGGATATTTCGTTTATTCCCAAGTTTTTTTTGTCAATTTCTTCGAAAGCTGACTGTAGGTTTTCTGTAGTCCAAGTACACACTCGAGCTCGCACTCCTTCCTTTCTTTTATATTTTCGTGGCATAGTTCTGATAATATTTACATAGAAAATATATGAGGCACTTAAATATTTAAAAAATACACACATCATTTCATATATATTTCAGGGAGGGATAGATGCCCCTAAGGGCATCTATACCTCGAAAAATCAGGGCAACTATCCTTTGTTGTAGAGATAGATACCGAACGATTTTTTTAATAAATTATAAACAAAATTACATCTAATTAAATCTAAATATAGTCTCAATGAACCAGTATATTGACATAATAAACTATATAACGAAAATTATCACAAATTATAAAGTTATGCAATTTACAAATACTAACCTTTGAATCTTCGACGTGTTCGTGACTGTCGCCGCGGAGATAATTACACGCACAAGCGAAACACGTCCTCACAGCACGATGCCAGTGGGGTAACTGAGGTACGGGGTGAATGCGTCTCCTACTCATACAATTAATTCTTAGTTGCGAATTCGGGAAGTTAGGTTTTTAAATTTGAGGCATCTATCCCGCTGCGGCGTCTATCCCGGTTTTACCCTATTAGCTTTCTGCCTCGGTTATTAATTATCTTTACTTAAAACTTGTAGTTAAAAATGTTAAAATGAGGCTACTGAATATTATTTTTATTTTATACTAGCTGTTGTTTCGCGACTTGGCTCATGTAAATTATAGCTCATACGCGGGTGGTATGATGCTACCTTCCGCAACTGAAAGAATTTTTAAAATCGGTCCATTCATTTAGGATTTCAATGTAAACAAACAAACCTTTCATAAAGTAAATTGTACTCATAAAATTCCATACAGGATATAGTTTATGATGATGATATGAATTCACACACGGATTATTAAAACATATTTTTTCAGTCAGCTTTCGAAATCAATGCCAGCGCGATAGAGATTTCATATTCCTCTCACACATAAACTTATTTTATCATCACCGCACAGTAGAATCTCTTATTATTTTTAAACTAAAAGGAAAAGCTCCTTAGCCCGCCGAGGGTTCCGGCCGCGAGCATTTGTCAACAAATCACGTCCCCATACGTTATTGTGACTCTGTGACCGAGCGCGCACTTGACAATAATCACACCACCCCACAAAACTCAACTTTAACTTCTGCGCTATAGAATATAAAATCCTTTGTATGATGCGGCTAACTGGTGTGTTTCGTACTGTGACTCTAGAGTTGGCACATATTTTTTAAATATACTTCCAAGATAGAGTATGGTTTGTTACATTCGATAGATATTCTTTTTTAAAAATTTGCACTTTTTTCTATACTCAATGATATGTGTAATAATGATGTATGACGAGAATTTGAAATCAAAATAAGGAATTTTAAAGGATAATGCTTAAAAAGCCCGGCACCTGCATATTGTAGGTGAAAATAATTAAATAATTATAAATATAAATCATAGAAATGTGTGAAATTGCTATTCGTATTTTTACAGAGGTAACCTAATATACCAGTCAAAAGAGCAGTACAGTACTGTTACAGTTACGGTTTAAAAGTGTATAAAATGAACTGATGTGCCTTATGAATAGAAGTTGTTTAAATGATTTCGCTTAGTTGCTTCACAAAAAATAGTCCTTTGCCAGATTAATAATTAAAAATAAGGATCAATTCATTGATTCTAATATGCATACATAATTCAAAAATAAATTCCTGCCATATATCTACTGCCATGATAATGCCAATGCATTATCATGGTAGTGGATTTCGGAATTACGCTTTCCTAGCGCCGCCGCCGTTGCGTCAAAGTTTTGTCAAATGTATCTCGGGACAATCCAAATAACATCCGCGCGTGTAATATTTCCGGACGCCTCGAGGGGCGCCCGGTGACATACTTCGGACGGCTGTACAGTTAATGCGACCTTTTTAATGTTTTTTGTTAATGGAAGATTCATTTATATTGAACTGGAAACAAAAGAAATAGAAAAATGAGTCGGCTGCATTCGTCTCGTGTGACTTACAGAGAATGAGATAAATAGTAGGGCTTTTGCTATTTGACTAAGGTTTACTCGTATCATAACTACAACGGTAATATTAGTGCCAGGAATACCATGTTCGCGAGCGTGTTCTGGTTCCTGCTCGGCCCGCTCCGGTGTTGGTCGTTGGTATAGTGGGTATTGTCGCGTTCGCGTACTGTTCTGTGCATAGAATATGTTTTGTTAACGTGTCCCATACACGTTAGCACGCGGTTGGTCCTTTTTATTGGGCATATTACACAGCATTGTTTAAACCGTTTTTATTACATGATTAATACGATCATAATATTACAGTGTAAAAATTGCTTATGAGTGACAAGATCGCTATCTGATCTTAAGAATCACTGTTTCATTAGTTTTTTACTCGATAGATGTCGCTAATGTTATATTTGGTGATTTTACTGATTTCATTAATGAAATGTTTCATATTCTTTTATTACGAAGAATACGTTGTATACTTATAAGATAATATTATGAATTTGATAATATAATATCACGTTCATAATAATATATCTTCTTTTTTTATTATTATTTTTTAAATATCTTTATTTGTATATATATTTATTACACCAGAAAATCTACGTTACCTTTAAAATACTAGTACTCTTAATAATACTTAGGTTTTAAAACAATAAATAAGTTATTATAAAAATGATAAATGTTGGTTGTTTGGTCATCTTAATATGATATTAATAGTAAAATATTGAATTATTCGTGTCATCCGTATTCAATAATAAACCGTCCATAGATTTCCACAACAATTTTGGTTAAATGATTATTGTTATAACAAGCTACTAGATCAACAAGACGTCGGTCGGCACGTGGTACCCCCGAGTATAATGTTGAACTACAATTATGTAATAATAACATACATCGGAAATCGATACGTCACCGAACATCGACTGCGAATAACGTGTAATTCCCCAGTTTGCCATCCCTCGGAATGTTTGGTCCCTAGTTTATTCTAGAGGTCCCCAAACTTTTGCGGCCCTCGCCCACTTATGACTGAAAATAATTATTCTCTAATATGTCTAAATGAATAAAAGAGATTTTAAAAACTAAATGACTGAAAGAGATTTTATTTGTAAAATTAAATCAATAATCTAACACATTATTTTTAAATTTTATTAGTAATTAAATCTTCAATGAATTATACTTTATAATTTAATCAATCTCTTAAATCTTCTAATATGAGGCAAAGGTGACTGAGTAACTGATCCAGTAACGCATAGCTCTAACAACAGTATGGATTATAAATATTCAACTTTAAACAAATACATACAATATTTTATGTACGTATTTATTTAAAGTTTGTAAGAGACATCTCAATCGAGTAGCACGTGTGAATTTTTTTTACTCGAGTCACTCGAAAATTCGAGTGTGACTCGAGTGAGGTAGTTAATTGATTCGAGTGACTCGAGTCACAAAATACTACTCGAGTCGCTTCACTAGCATAGAGGTTTAATCAAATAAAACCTAATTTGCTGATTTATGAATGTTTAATAATTAGCAGGTATGTTTATCACCTCAGTAATTTAGTAATATAACTATATATATATTTTTAATCAATACTTTTTTCAATTGTTTATTAAAATTCTCTTTGGGAATCTGTGGTTTGCCTTATAGCTAACAGAATTCGTATTCCAGCCTTAGGCGGCGAGCGCGTCCGCTTTATTATTGTCTACTGATATTTTTCTTCCATCTGCTCCTGCGATCACATATCCTTGAATCGCTGTGTCATTTTTGTTCGCTACTAGAAAATAGACCAATTCTTAAAATATTCTACATAGTCCACTGCTTCTAATAAATAGAAAAAAAAATCTAATATTTACATGTATAATGTATAATTGAATATGTTATTTTACTTGACAAAACGACTACGAGTCCTGTTTGTACGTAGTCGATTGTCATTTGATAATCTTTATATTTATTGATGTCAACAAATTATTTTTAAATTGTAGTTGTTATTTTCTAAAATACACAGGACTGATATTTTTGCTTCCGTTTCCACAATACATGTATTGTATTTATGCGATTGATTAAACCTTTATACATTTTTAAATTTATAAAAATGCTTAATTGAAAACATACACGTTCTAAGGAAATGTAAACGATATTATACGTTTTATATATATGTTTTGATGACTTTCCGATTACATCTCAATTACCTAAATCGATTTTTATGAACCAAATATATCCAGTATGTAATATCGGATTTATACGATGGCCAGTCTAAATTAAAAATTACATGTGATATTTGCTACAGAAAGAATACTTATTGCAATAAGTTATGGTTGGTGGAAACGCCTAAAACGCCTACTCATTCGTTGAAGGCAACGAAGCTTCGTCATTGATGATCTCCATATATATTTTCACATTCACCTATCAACCTTCATACGTTAAACAACAAAAATAATTTCAACATTGTAAGCCAATAAATTCATATCTGAAATCATCGAGTTTATTTTCCGGAATAAATTCCATTGCGTCAAGAAGGCGCAAACAGTTGGCAATGTTTTTTGTTTATGGTTTTTAAGCTGACTACTATTAAAATTTATGACTATGTTTTTATATGAATCTTTATTTAACAATTAATTAAAAGCTTGCCTGTTACGAGTAAAGAGAAAAGGTAGAATACTTCTCTTTTAAGTTAAAATTAACAATAAAAATAATAAACCAATAATTTAAAAAAGTGGGTTGTTCCGTATTTATGCAATAACTATAAGTTATATCTAAAACATAAATAATTTCAAGACACCAGACAGAATTTGACACAAGTTTTTGAGTCTCATTTACATATTTTGCTGATTTTAGCTCCTAAATTATATATTTTGATGATGGTAACAATCCGTTTTAGTGAGACTGACTTTTATTAAAAAAAAAAATAGATAATTATGGCTTACATTTAATAAACAATGTTATTGTGATAATTTTTCTTTTCACGAAGTTTGTATTTTCACGAAGAAATATTATAAATTATCCGAAAAGAAAAATATGTTTATCAAGTCTAAAATTGTATTGATTATAATGTTCATTAAGTGTCAGAGGCAAAACTGTGGGTCTACCTAAATATGACCCGGTGTACACAGTGAAGCTGTAAGACATTTTTTAGTAATTGATTTACTAGATAATTTAAATTGGTTATTTCTTACTTTGCTTCTTTATTGTATTTAATTTTATTTATAAACCCTATCTACAAAACGTCTGTCAAGTGCTAATCGCTTATGAAATATTTCTAACAGTATTTTGCATGAGTTAAACAAGTGCTTATTGCTTCGCATTTAAAACAAAAGTAGGCAACCGAAGCACAGTAACATAATAACGGGATCACGATTGTTAGATTAAAATAAGGGAGGCACCCGTTTGAGGGACTCGTCGCCCCAAGCTAGTAGCGCAGGATTACAGGCGCAGAGCGAAAAACAAGAGGCCCCTTCGGAATGCAAAATGGGAGCTTATCTTATAATCATCGAGCGTGTCAGCTTATTAATAAAAATCATATTTCACGAGGTCGCGCTGCTGAGGACGCGGCTCGCATTAAAACAATCTCTAGCGCTACATTAATTTTAATACCAAACTTGTTGACGACACCCGGAGATAAATTTACAATAGTGGAACACTCCCCATCATTTCCAGCTAATAGCGGCAGCTAATTTCTATCTAGTCCTAAGTCAACAGGAAAAGGGGACGCCATCGTGAAGCGAGCCAGAGTGTTGTAATCTTCCAGATCTCTTGCAAATTATAGCGAAACTTTAAGTTAAACATACTCAGCGGCTTACTTTGCGGTTGGTGTACGTAACCCACTAAATGCCTGTTTGTAGCGTACCCCGAGGCTAGAGTACATAAAAGCTTTATAGCTACAATCGTTGGGAAGCGAACAAATTGTTAGATTAACATACTTGCGGAGTACCAGGCTTCCACTAGCCAGAGTGGTCTACAAATATTAGCTATAGCACAATAGCTTTCCGAATTATTGTGTCCATATATTAAATAGAACGTTCTATCAAGGTTTTTAAGAATATGTGGCCTCTGTAAATTATGCAATACCATCAATTTTGAGCTCGTTTGATTGACCTTAACAAGATCTCTGTTTCAACAAAAGCTTGATAAAAAAATTATATATCTTCTTTTGTCTTATGTTTCAAGGACAGCGTTAAGTTCGACATTTATAATAATTAATAATCTTAAAAAATTTAAACAAGAATTTAAAAATTATTATTTTATAATATGGAGGTGAGAGGCTCAAGCCCGACTTAAGCCTACATTAGACATGATATCCTAGTACTATTTATTGGTACTACCTTCTTCTTAAATACCAATTCTGGATTTGAGTATTAATTCAGCGTTGCTTTAGCGTGAAATAAACTTAAGAATAAAAATAATTATTATTTAAAAAATACTTTTAAAACTAACATAGATTTTTTGTGGTTCTCACAAATACTTAATTAACTTAGTCTATATCTGTTCAATTACCTATGTATATGATAATACCTTGTCTTATAGATTCGAAGTGAAATAAAAAGCAAAGCTTACAGTCTGATTCAATTTAAATTTTATTTTATCTCACCGATGTTTTCTCTTCTAATTCTCGAACCTTTGCTTGTCTGCTTCAGGATTAGTTAAATGAAAAGGGAATTACTTTTTTTTTTTACTAAAAAATATCTTTCGCCCGACGACGGCGCCCCGTCCGGTGCCGCTTGTTTTTCCCTTGCATTCTAAATCATAATAACTTTCAACGGAGTTCCACCGCTTTGGCATAATCAACGACCTTAAAATGTGTAAGCCAATTTAAAAGCAGTAAAATTTTTGCTTTGTCAAAGGTGTTATGCTCTTTGGTGCGTTGACTTCTCAAAACTATTACGTCTCTTTCCCCCTACAATAGGCTTGCACAGTTTCAGAATGATGCAGCTTGAAAGTTGCCGTACTTAAAAAAAAAATTGCGCTCTAAAACTACTTTTCAAATGTAACATTCATCGCTTCTTATCTTTTATTTGCAGTTAAGGAGGCCTACCCTTATGTTTCAAGTGTTACATTTTAAAGTTTATAATAACACAGTTTCAATTTACACTATAATCTCCGCAATACAATATTGTTTTAAACCTGCTACTTGAAAGAATGATATTTGAAAGTTTCTATTTGCAATTTCTCTGAAAGTGATAATTAAAAGCAAGTAATTATTTAAACGAATGATTTAGCGATGACGTCATTAAACTACTTAAGGAAACAAGTAGGCTTATTTTAAGAAAGTCATAGTACGAATTAGCAAAGTAGATTAGAAAAATTAGAACAATATCGCGCTACTCTTAACCATTTCAAGCGGTAGGCCCACAACAATTTCAAAGTTTCGGTCCAGCTTCAAAAGTAATTTTTATCAAGTGTGAATTTTTTATATGTGTCTCAGTATATTTATAACGATATTTTTAAAAAAGCTTTCAGAAAGTACTTCAAATGTATGAATGGATTCATCTAATAAAATTAATAAATAAATATACTTTTTAATTATCGCCCGAATCGTTTCGTTGTTAACAATCGTGGCACAGACGTCATTTCTCTCAGGTTTTGAATGGGTTATTTTCAGAGTTTCGCCTAAACCGTAATCTGTTAAAAACGATCTTGAAAATTGATGAAAAGGGCTCGCATTTTTACTCGCTCACGTTTAGATACGTGGGGCAGCTCAAAGCGATTTTAATGGAAGTATAAAAGGGCATCATTTCTGTCCATTAAATGCCTTTTAAACGTTTGATCCTTTTTTTTTGTATTTGCCATAGCGATGATCCGCGAACAGATTGGGGCACGAACGGGTCGTGTTAATTAAGCCGTCGTAATGTAGGGCTACAACCCGATGGCCGCATCATACGCCAGTGCCAATTACAAGATCAATTTTATTCACATTTTGACTTTTTATTTACAAAAATTTGGCATTTCAATTAGCTCAAAGCTTTCGGTTACTTTTTTTAGTGCAGCAGCGGTAGTAATAATGCTGAATATAAATTATAATACGAATTTCAATTTTGATAATAAAACTTGCCCACGGTAGATAAAATACTTGAATAGTCTACCCGCAAACATTTTATGTGAACCTCTTAAGATCCCACACCGTCAAAGAATCGTCAGGCATGCAAATTCTTTATGCATAATATCTAAAAAGGTAGCGAAGAGAAAACAGATTGCGTCTTCGGCTGCCGGGTAAAATATGAAAGGGATGATACAAAATTCTTTCAATTATCTCCGCGGCTGGCGTACGCCCTCAATAATAAATCATGGAGGTGTCGCAACTTGTCGGCGGCGGCAACCCGTTACACCGGCGACACTCGCAAAAAATCAAAACGAGGGGATCAGAAAATATAATTTCAAATAAAAGTTGAGTCAGGAGCGGTCACAAGTTTCTTAATTAAAACTTACGTCGGACGTTGCGAGGGGAAAGAACTCTGACCCAGAAATAAATAAATACAGCCGAGCGTAGCGGCGATAGCTATGTCGTCACGAGTAACTCATTTATTTGTTTATAGCACTTTTGCTCAGTTCGACGAACGTGTCTCATAATCTAGCCGTGTCTGGATTCCTCTATTCCATCGGGACACAATAATGCACTTTTTAATTAACGTTAGATTAGTTCGTGATAATTTTATGTTGGTATTGGCTAAGTTTTTTTTTTTTTGTTACAGCATTCCATGATCTACTTCTTCCACCATTACGAGCTGCCTGTGATACTACAGCAAGCTCAACTTCAACAGTTGTTACTTCGCACTCACCGCGGTATGGGTATGATGCCAATAATGGGCTTAGCAGGCATCGCTGCTTTAGCAAGCGGCGCGGCATATCACGATGCTCCAGGCACTGGTACTCAAGCTACTCCACCGACGACTCAATCTACTACACAAACTGTTCAAAATACAGTACAGTCTACAACTCAAACGTCGCCTTCGGTTTCCACTGCCCAAACTAACACAACTCATACTGGAGACGTCATCTCGTCCAGGACAACAGCCACAGAAACGAGTGCTGCAGGTACCAACACTACTTCCAACGAGAACGAACAGACAGCCGTTGCCACCCCTGATAAATACAGTTCTCCAGCAGGAAGTGATAATATCAGAATTGAAGAAATTGAAAGGAAAACTTCCAGTAGTAACGTTACAGTTTCTTCCAATAGTCATTCCATTGTAGCAAGCTCCAACGTTCGTAACTCGCCGAGCGGAGCTGATGAAATCATAAATCCTGTCAGCGATCATGTTGAATCTTCAATTTTAGATCGCAGACGAAAGAAAAGTAACGAACAGAATTCAGATAATCCTCTATTAGCGCCTCAGAGTGTTTCTACAGAGAGATTAGCTCCTAGAGCATCAGCTGAGGCTGACGATCTAGACTAGTATATATAATTAAAATGTTCTATCTATTGTGCATTGAATATCTATGTATTTAATTTCGATCAATCGCAGCTTCTGTGAGATTTGAAGTCGCATTAGAGTAATTATTAGTTCTATGAATAAATAGATGATGTTTGACATGGACTGGTTAAGGAAAGTTTATGATTCTTTAAAGCGGTGTAATGTTTGTCACAATTGAATAATTTTTCCCGAATATGTATTATTTTTGACGGGAATTATTTTCCAGGTAATATGATAGATTTTTCAACAGTGTTTGTTAAATCTGCTGCCATCGGTAACAGCGAATTGTAAATATTTATGATAGTATACAAACTGATGTGAACATATTGTGTTGTACTTAGAGTTTGTAATTTGTTACTTTGATGATGCTTTGGGGTGGCGCAGATGTCGGTATACTCTTCAGTGATTTAGTTTATGCAATAAAATATTTTGTTCAAATGTGTGTCTTTTTTTCTCTTGTCCCTTATATATTCTTATTATTTCTATATATGTGTTCTTTTTGGTGGCAGAATAAGTCATTCATTTTTATTAATGCAATTAGTATGATATAAATGAAAATTGACTTCTTAAACATATCGAGTTACTTATAACAACATTTAACGCAGCCAATATAAGTACAAAGTATTCAACAAATTATTCTATACTACAGCCAAATTCGATGAAGAATGTTTACTAACAAAGCGTTGCTTAGCAACCAGTGACAGGCAGATATTAATAACCTTTCTAATCTAGACATTTTTTTTCCATTTCGAAATACTACTTTATGAAATATTCTAGGCAATTTAGATAGAATTCAGCAATTGAATTATATAGTGGTATTTTGAAAATTACCTATATCTTTGTAATCTAATGTGTTATGTCTTTACATTACAAGGAACATGTCATGTGTAAACAAAAACCAGTGAAAAATCATTTTTTTTATTTATAAATGTACTAATACTTCATAAACTTGCTATTCATAAATAATGCAATCAATTCACAATGCTATTAATGCTATAGACACATTATTATATGATATAAATATTTTTGTCGTTTTAAACAGTAAAGAGCAATACCGAACTTTCACACGGGGTCGGCTTACATTATGCGATCGATTTCAAATGTAGTCAATCTAAAGGTATATGTTTTACAATAATTGACAACATTATTCTTATAAGTTATAGGGCTGTCAAGTAAAAATAACTTGAGCTTTATTACTATTTTCCATTTTTTTGTCATAATATTGAAGTTCTACGAGTGTTTCTGGTAATTTACGACATTAAAAATATTACTCATAAAATTACGAAATAATTTGTCATCTTAGTTGTGATGACCCTGATTTGCTTCGTTTACATTTATTCTTAATCGAATTTGGCTAGCATTACGGTCACATTTTTTTAACATGCGCTTAGCTTAGACTATATAATATAGCCTACTTAATTGCTGTTTAACTTTGAAGTTTTAAACAAAATCTTACAGAAAATCCTGTTGAATTCAATACTTTGGAAGTTGAAACGAAATTCATAATTGATTAATAAAAGAGTATTTGATTGAAATCGGATTCACTCAGTTCGTTAGGAAGTGAACTCGAAGTTATTTTTCAATTGTCACATGTTAAGATGTCTTCTGATTTTATTATTTAACAGATTACATTGAAATATTATATTTGATAAGTTTTTTATTCGCAATGCTATACTCGGAGTAGCTCGGTGGCGTAGTGGATAAGCGCCGCGGCCCACGATCGTAGTCGTTAAGCAACTTTCGCAAGGGTCGGTCACGGGATGGGTGACCAAAAAATTATTATCTCGAGCTACTCCGTGCTTCGGAAGGCACGTTAAGCCGTTGGTCCCGGCTGCATTTGCAGTCGTTAATACCCTCGTGGAGCGTCATGGCCCATCCTCCTTAACCATCCATAAGGAAGGCCTGAGCCCCTGCAGTGGGGACGTAAAAAGGGCTGGTGAAACATGCTATTCTGGAAAATATTCTTAATGAAAACTGCTTAAAAAATCTCTGATGGTATTCGAATCGAAGACCTTTCGCGATATGTTAATAGGTATCAAATTACTTTCTGACATAGTAATAATGTAATGGCCTATTTTGTATCCGACGATGACACTGTATAAAGAAACCGGCATGTTCACCGTAAGGCAACTGTATATTTTAACAATAATACTGAAGCAGCATAAATTGATAGATATTAAAAACAACGCCATCTCGACTGTTAGACTGTTAACAATACGCTGTATGTAAAATACATTTATTAACACCAAAATTAAAAGATTCTTTTGCTACCAACGTGGACGGATACTACACATTAGGGGTTCTAATGTCACAGTTCGTCGACCCCCTCTCCTAAAGTGTGACGTAATTTATGGATGATCCGTTAGTTCCAAAAATAACATAATTTGCTTTTGAAATAATTTTAAGTATAAAGTTTGTCGAATTTGTAGCTGACTGGTTAGCACCTTGGTTTCAAGGTGATGTCGTTGTCTTAGATCCCAGTTTCAATTTCTGGATATTTGTCTCGGGTCTAAATTCCATAAAACGAATACCTTAGTTACCTTAGTGAAATCTAAGCAATACGTGTGGGTGAATTTTACAGAATATATAAAATAATAATACAGTTTGTTTTAACTAAAGTAATATATATTTTATCTATTATTTCAAATATTAACGTACTAAAACATTACTTCATGAACTACATGACAATAAAGATTAACTTGTTAATTTGAATTTAAAACTGCAATATCGGAGGAGAAGCTTGACGATTTGAAAACATCAAGCCTTATTTTTGGGTTAGTTTCTGGCCTCGTCTTCCACATGACTGTTTACTTTGGCACTTGTTAACTTAATCTGTAAGAACATTTGTGGAAGAAAATAAATTATTATTAATATTATAATGAAGCAAAGCAGATTTTTTTATTGTTACAATACAATGTCTATTTAGAATAATGAGATTTGAAGACAAAAATTAGTTAAGAAATTATTTTCACCTACCAACTAGGGTATTACATAGCACTGAGAAAAAGTACCTATTCAAAGTTTTAATTTTCGACATGATAAAATATCGAAAATTAAAACTCTGATATGTTGAATATAAAAATTTTTGAAAATCTACATAGATCAGCAATTCGCGTATGCGGACTGCGGAAGATATAATATAGGAGCGATAAATATCTACGAGTATATTATATTAAAAAGAATTGTAGAGAAAATCTTTATGATCTAATTAGTAATTTATGAAAATTCTATCACTAACGGTTAGCAACATCATACGTAGTCGTAGTCGCGGGAAAACGTCTATTTATTAACTATACCTATCTACATAAAATGTATTTGCTTAATGTTACTTTTGAATGTGCGTGTGATATTTTCCCAAACCAGCTGCATTAAATAACTGCACCACTTTCACGACTGTGAGACAAAAATAGAAACTTAAGCATTAACCTCAATAATCCGGTTAAATCCGGACATTTAACTAAGGGGAAGTAGGGAAAGATTGGGGGGCCTAACTTTAAGTAACAGAAAGAAATGTACTTAGTTTAAAATCTTTTATTTTGAAAAACAAACAATGAATACAAATTTCTTATCTAAGTATCTATCTAAATATATAAAAGTCAATTGCCATTCGTTTGTCTCATTAAAAACTAGAGAAAGGCTGGGCCAGTTTAGCATATTTTGGTATTGAAATTTTTGTCGTAGTCCAGGGAAGGTTAAAACGGTGAGAGGTGATATAAAGTACATCGGGTCATTCACTAGATAGTTAACAATAACTTTGATCGAACCACACTATAATTTTCATCGATCTCAGCCTGGTAAATTTTATCGTGTCACTGAACTGTGAATTTGAAGTGAACTTGATTATTAAAAATATTATGAATTAGCTTTCTCCAGCGGCTACGCCCGCGTCCCTAGGGAAATGTTTAGTGGGATAAAAAGTATATTATTATCTAAGTCAGTTAATACCCTATATGTAAACCAAATTTCATCAAAATCCATTCAGTTGTTTCGGCGTGATTGACAAACATCCAAATAAAGAAACTTTCACATTTATAATAATAACTAGCTTTCGCCAGCGGTTTCGCCCGCGTGGTCCCTAGGGAAATGTTTAGTGGGATAAAAAGTATCCTATTATCTAAGTCAGCTAATACCCTATTTGTATACCAAATTTCATCAAAATCCGTTCAGTAGTTTCGGTGTGATTGACGGACAAACATCCAAACAAAGAAACATTTATAATATTAATAGGATTAATAGGATAGGATGCATTTGTTATTTTACTATCTCTTATTCAAAAAAAGCAAGAGCTCAGACTGAGTTTGAAATACGTACACACTATCACCGTAAGCAGACCTCTATTGGCAGGGAAGTTCTATACGAAGCGCGGTCGGTACAAAGTCCACAATGTATAGTCTGACGTGCAGCCGTGTGTACGTACATTTATAGTGTAGAGTGTCTAATGAGTCATTTTGTAGTATTTTGATATTCATAGCTGTTATCACTTATAATTTAATATTCTCACAGGAAACGATATAATTTATAATATCTTTCAACATTTAATTTTCTCATTGGCAAATAAAGTAGGTAACTTTCAGTTAAATGTCAATGGTTAAATAGTATAATGCTAATATTTATTATATGCAAGTAGCAAAGTTACAGCTAGCGATAACGTTCGAATCCTTCTTTTATTAATGGCACTGTGCGTCTCGAACAATTCTGTCACGTTAGAATCTCACTCGACCCGAGATGTGCCTGTACTCTACATGAGCCATATGATACATCTTAGTGATATTCGTTCAGTTGCACAAACGTCCATTAAGATTTAATGGCGACTTTAAGATCTAATGAATGTTCTAAATTTAAAAATTTGTATTGGTAATGAAGCATTAAACTAATGACAAATTTAATGCACGTTTGTGCAACTAGCGAAATTATGACGTTATTTTGTTTCAATTTTTTACTTCGGCATGTCCTTTTAGTGGATAAACCCTACTATCAAATCCATAATTATCATTCTTTATCATTCGTTCGTCATTGTTGATGACCAGGACATACAACATTCGTTCGATTTTAATATACGACTGTCGAATAATTTTCCACGCACAAATCGAATACTCGAATAACATCACGATCGTGTTTTTATCACGAACTTTAAAAAAATAACACTGAACTAATCACGTAAATTACAAAAAGACATTCGAAAGCTGAATATTAAAATTAGACGAATATTACATGCCCTAGTCGTGATTAAATGGCAGCTGACATACTCAAACCTCCAACCTCCCCTACCTAACAAGTGCCATCGACTATTAGCTCTTTATATATACTATATTCGACAGGCGCTAAGAAGAAGTTGTCCGGATTGAGGAAGGTATGGTATGCTCGCGTCCTTATCGGGTACCAGAGTCTTTTAAATGATTTTCTATTACATGTCAGATTTCTCTAACTGGTGAGTA